GTAGTAGTAGTAGTAGTAGTAGGCCTAGTAGTCGTAGTCGCAGTACTAGTAACAGGGGGAGGGGGAGGAGAAGAATGATGAGCCTCGTTTGGACGGTTCGGATATCGGCAAGGATAAAGACAACACTTGCGCAGCGTGCTAGGAGTATTCGTAGTGATTTTACATGGTGAAGGAACATTCGCACAAGGTGCTTACTGTAGCATGAGTCGTTCACTCATCCAGGGATCTCGTCAAATCCTCCACTGAGGAGAGTTGTGGGCTTCGGCTGGGCAGTATTCGTGCCGATCGTCGCTGTGTGGGTGGCGGTCTTTCTACATGAGCGGAAGGTTTCCGAGAGCAGGAGAATAATGATTGACTGGGTGCCCCTGCAGAGAAAAGCCTGCCAGATTTTCTGCACATGGCAGAGCAGATTGGCCTGCACTCATAGCCTTACATTTGTTGTACCCTTTGCCCCGAGCTTAGACTGGCTTTTCGAGGCCCTTAGCCTAGAGTCAGGATGGAAGCCGGAAGACCGAAATTTCGTCAGAACCCCTGCTTGAAACGAACTACATCCCGCCCTGATCTAGGCCTGGGCTCCTTCCTCCTGGCTGGCGCGAGCATGCCCCTGGTACTGGACTATGCACTCAGCCTGGAACAAACTCCGACAGCATCGGGACTCTATATGGGCATCCAGCTGATCGCATCGGTTCTGGGAACCCTCGTTGGCAATCAGCTGGTTACCGAGACGAGGTGGAACCAGTTCTTCGTCAGGCGGCTGCTGCTTTCTGTCTACTTTTTCACGTCTCTTTCGAGCTTGGGCTTCGCATGCTTTCTCAACTGGACCGCCCGGCAACATGTCATATGCTACAGTAAACCCTAAATTTGGAAAATAGTGGGACAAGCCACCCCTAATAGCAGAAGGACTGCCACGAGCAGCCGTGTGAACCTCGTTTGGTGGACAGGCTTTGTTTGGAGCTTCGTGGTAGCCTTTGTTGCCGGCATTCCGAACGTTATTGGCGTGCTCCTATGGACCAAAGTCACCAACCCAGGCAATCGCACGATATGGACCGTCATAATGCAATGCTCCCGAAGCGCCGGCATGGCAATCGGCCCTGTCTGTTTCTCGATCCTAAGCCGAGCGGTTATCAACGGAGGCGAGGCGGTGAGCCCTCGAAGCATGATGGCTTGGGTTTCCGTCTTCAGTAATTGGATAACCCTCATCTCCCTCACCATCTGTGTCTTCGGCCTGCCCACCGAGCTCCCCGTTGCACTCCCCGAGATCCCGGCCGAAACTCCCCACCGGGCGAGGAAGTCGGGGGAAGCCCGGCCGGAGGACCTGGAGGATCCCGAGAGACAGACGGTGTACTGGAAGATGTTCGCCCACTTCTGTGAGCGGCCGATGACGCTTGCAGCAATTGAGGTGTCCATCACCATGATGCTGGAGATGCTATACGGCTGGGATGCCTATCATTGTGGCTTCTGCTTAACTATCATGTGTCCGGTGGGCATCGTCCTAGCCGTCGTCATGAAGATATTGATCAACAGCGGCTTCGTTTCAGAGTCCTCCGTCTATTTCTCTGCGATGCTGGCCTCCGTCTTCGGCGCTGCCATGCTTTTTGATGGGGGCAATGCTGGGGCCTGGACCCTCATCACAGGTGGTACGGTCATTTTCAGTGGAGCCTTGGCCTGTGGTACAAACCTGTCGTATCATCTCAGGCCTCATACCACCCCAAGAAAACTCAACCCTCTAATCTCAGACTTCTACTGGATTGTGTCTTCCAGCTCTTTATGTGCTGATGGTTGCCAACTTCTCTTTCCGAGACATGGGCTAAAACAGCAGGAACTGCCGTGGCGAATGGCATTGCAGATGGTTGGGGCTCCCGGGCCGCGAAGGAGGGCACCAGTTTCGGCCAGGCCGGCTTTTAGGGTTTAGGGTTTAGGGTTCGCAAGAGTCCTGGATGCAAAAAGGGTTTAGGGTTCAGGGTTTAGGGTTTAGGGTTTAGGGTTTAGGGTTTAGGGCTTTGCCAGATCTGTTGGGGCACGTTGGGCTTGTCGGCTCGCCAGGTGCATGTAGGAAAAGGATGCGAGGCAATGCAAGGCCTCCCAAAAAGGCAGACCGCTGTTGGATGTGGGCTGGGTCATTTGACTAGAGTGTGGATGATAAGGACAGTAGGCAAACCAGACAGAGTGGCAACGAGGGAAAGCCACGGCATTGCAGGCACAGTTCCAGCTACTGAAGCTTCTCGCCATCTGCCTCGGCAACTTTGCTGGGGACACTGGTGGCCGCTTTCTGGTTGATTTCGGTGGTCGCAACACGTACGCAGGGGCTCAGCTTGTGCTGTGCCTACTGGGAGCACACACTGTGGCTGGCTTCCTCGCTTCAGCACTCAGCTTTCTCATCTTGGGGGTGGACCTTTGGAGGTTCGGCGGTTGTTCTAAGCCCGAGGCCTATGAACCCAGAGCCAAAACCGAAGCCCAAACTACTCCACTCCGAGCTTCACAGAGATGTGGGAGATGTGACGCTGCCACCAAGGCGTATGGAGCCTGCCGGCCCCTTTGGGCCAAGCAAAACGAGGAATGGGAGTCTCAGGAATCTGATGCCAAGAGCCCTGGCTGTAAGTTGCCTTCAGCTCCGGAGGACTCACCGAACCCTTCCGAGGCTTCACCTTTCAGGTAGCATAAGCTGCTTTTAGAGAAGCTGGCGAGCAGTGACTGGGGAAAAAGGGGCGAGGGCGACCTGTGCTTTTTCAGCTGGTTACCTTGCGTCAGGGTTTGGTACATGAAGCTCTGAACTATGACGATCCCGCCGCCTTCTTCTGTTCGAGCGTTGCTTCGGCTTTGTGCCCCGATGGAGGAACGAAGGACCGTCGTGCCGTGGGCCGATGCCGTTCTTCAGTAGCCCTGGTCGTCGTGACGTGGAGAATGCATGAACTGCTTGAGCTTCAGTCGCGCTTAAGGCTTAATTATTCCTTTACACCGTAAGTCTTCAGCGCATTGCATCCTGCAGGGGCATGGTTGTCAATACGTATCCCGGCCGATACTCGCCGACTGACGCCCCTTGGACAGCGATTTGGCAACCCTGGCAAGACAATCGGCTGCCCAGCTGCTTACAGCGACTGCTGTCATCGTCTTGGCTAGCAAGACCAGACCTACCGCCCGTGCTGTTCCACTGTCTCGACCAGTCTGTGGTTTCATGCCGTCCATAGGCGCGCGCTGTGATCAAGCTAACACTGCAGCTGCATTGTAGCCGCCTTTGATGCCCCTTGTCTTGTTGCTGCTATACTGATAATGATACCGGTGGCGGTCATGAGGATGGCGATGATGCAGTCGACGAAGTCAGGACGAAGTCGAGGATGTACCGGAGCTGGTGATGCTGCGACGACGGTAAGGTTGATGATGATGTTGAAGAGGATGATGATGCTCATTTCAAGTTGTTTATTTCTGTTCTCCCAATGTCATCCGCATGGTCACCTTGGTCGTGATGACCAGCACCAGCATCACCAGCCCCATCACCATCAGCATCACCATCCCCATCATCATCATCATCATCACCAGCAGCAGGGTCACCCGTCATTACTCTGTTATCCTCATGACTTCGACCATTCCCACCATCACCAACTTGTGTTCGTGTCATGCCTGAGGATTAATAATGCTGGTCACTCTGGTCACCCTTCATCTTCTTTTGTCATTGTATAAGAGACACAAAGAGGTGATTCAAAATGTCATTCATCGTCATGATGACCAGCACCAGCGATCCTGCAGCTCATTGCTTTCATCACGAATGCAACCTTCCGGGTAACACCATCATCACCACCGCCACCTATGCCGCTGCTCTCAGGACAGACCGGCGCCTCCACCCGAACGCGGGATGATGCGCGTCGGTCCCTCAACACCATCCGGCGCGTCGGGGCAAACACCCTCCGTTGAAAGTTGCGAGACATTTGCATGGTACTTAGATGCAATCTACCAGGTACTAGTACGGATGCTTTTGATTTTGCAAGAGTTGGCTCAGCCGCTGGCGCAGCGCCTCTTGAAGAACAGGCCTTTGCGGCGGCCTCGCTGAAAGATTGCGCGGCCTTGGGCCCGGAAATTCGGAGGCCGCTCTGCCGAAGCCTTGAGGAAAGGGGTGAAGGTCAGGGCCTTCCTCTCGCACTGTTAGATTCGGGTCATTATAGGGGCCTTAGTAATTACATACAAATATATAAATAAATATACATAAATATAGATAAATAGATAGATAAATAAATAAATAAAAAGAATATATATATATATATCGATTGGGGGTTCCGTATGATTATAATTATACTTGTCAGCAGGTACTTTCAGAAGTCCTTCGATCGCGAGTTTCTGGCTTCAGTCGCCAGCCGCAGAGATCTTTGGCGCATTCTTCTGCTGGGCTCTCGGGCTTGCGTCAGGTCCTGCAAGGGTTGGAGTCGTAAGCTCCCAGACTTCAACCATGAACTCAAGATTGAACCTGGTAGATGTGTCAGTCCGATTTTCAAAGCAAAACAGGGAGCTGTCCAAGAGAGCCTAGGCCCTTGCCCGGCATCTTCGCTTTTGTGGCAGACCGGGGAGACAACGAGCTTATGATCATGAACGACCGGGGCCCAGCATCGAGGGAGTTGCGTAGTGGTGCCTCAGGCTGCAGAGTGGCGGGAGTGCCGGTTTCAGGATGTTAGCACATCAGACTCACGGCAAAGATCGCACAGACAGGTCAAGGCTTTGCTTGGCAAACGCTTCCTTGACCTATCCTGCAGACTTTAGTCTCAGGCTTTGCTTCGTTCATGTTGGCTCTTGCATGAGGTTGTAGCATAGGAGGTTGCAGTCACTAGAGAATCCACTGTGCCGATCTATGGCGGCAGTGCAGCATTCAACGGCCATGTAGTTTTCTTCATGTTCATGCTCATTTCTCCGGCGCTGCTACTCTCAAAACCTAGCAAGAAGACCTTGCGTTTTAGTGGTTGTCATTTACTGCACTTGGGTTGTTAGGGTCTTGATCTTGATGAGTGTTTCACTCGATTGAAAATCTCGAATCATATGCCTCGCCTGGATTGTCCGAGTGTCAGCGCCGGAACCCTAAAAAAACCCTAGTCTGGAGACCGCACTCCAAAATCCGATGCCATGCCCCATCCACTTCCAAAGCCGGAGACGGGCCTCTCGCGAGCAGAGAAGCAAATGCGGGGATCTCAGGGATTCAGGGTTTAGGGTTTTCACCTAAATTGAAGCCAATAGTTCCGATTCGCTTCCTCAGGGCTGAGATCGGTGACAGTTTTCTCCAAGGCATGAAACAATCTGCAATCTGCTCAGCCTGCCCGTCGAAGAACGGGAGCGACGCTTGGAAAGAAGTCGCGATTCCTTGTTCTACCACTCCACGCAGTAGGAAACGTGTGCTTCAGACAATGAGAAGCTGCAGATGTTGGGCAAGGTCGCGAACCCTAAGCCCTCAACCCTTCATCCTAAACCCGAAGCCGAAACCCTTCATAAACCATAAGCCCTAAACCCTAAATCCTAAACCCTAAACCCTTTATCCTTGCTTGTCCGAGTTGTGAGAGTGTAAACCCTTTATCCTAAACCCTAAACCCTAAAGGTTGCGAGATTGCCAGCAGCTACACCTTCACCATGGCGTCGCTTGGCGGCATCCAGCAGGCCGACGGCCTTTGCAAGCTTCCCCTCGTGCTTCCTTCGTAGTGTTATTATTATTATGTATTAAATAATTTATACTATTATGTATTATTGTCTACGAGTATATATGGTTCTTATTTATATATTATTTTGTTATGTATTATTATGTATTATTGTCTTATGATCTATTACATATTATGTTTCTCCAGGTGTCCAGCGCCTTCTTCGCCTCCTGGAGCCTTGCCAACGCTGCAGGGGACCATGGAGGCTGATTATAATGTATATCTTATTATTATTTTTATCATGATGATTATTATGTATTATAATATATATTTTAGTATCTGTTGTTTAGATAGTATTATTTTATCATCTATTAGGCTTGCTTGGGGCCCAGATCCGTATTTGATTGCCTCGGCCTCGTCTGCGTTGCGAAGTGCACGCATGAAATTTTCACGAGTTCGCATCAGGTGGCTAGCCAGAAAGCCTTGCCGGGTACGTTTCGACGGGAAAGATCTCAAAACCGAAATGTCGGGGTCGCGGGCCTTGGCCAGGCGTCCACCCTGGATGCTGCAAAAGTCGCAGCGGGTGGGACTCTGAGCCAGACACTTGCTGATGAGGGCAGCCTCCTTACCTCCATTGCACCTCCCGGCAGATCTTGGGCTTCGCGTTCTCATACTAAACTTCGCTCATGGCTACAACTGTGGAGGAGGCAGAATGGGCTCTTTTCACCTTGAGCTCCATGGAATTCCAGACTCTCGTGCCCTTGCAGAGGCTTCGAACATGCTTCCGGCAGCCAGGAAGAGGCGATCTTTCGCTCCTCCTCGTGCGGCGCTCGATGGCCTGGGCTGAAAGTTTGCAGCTCGCTGGCGTTGCTTCAGACTTTGGCATCTCAGGCTGTTCCTTAGCTTGTGGCCGCATCGCAGAAAGGATCGCCTCGCTTGAGGTTGCGGGTCGCGTCATCATTGGTGGTCTGCGTATCTTGTTGATCTCTGCGCTTCTGCGTGGGTTGGAGTAGGGTATACAGGTAAGAATTGCTTATGTTTATGTACACCCATCTCGAGTCGAGACATGCTTTTACAGGATTCTTTTCTTGCTCGCTCTCTCTCTCTCTCTTTTTTATATCTCGCTCCCTCTCTCTATCTGTCTCTTCTTCGCTCTCTTTCCTCTACGAGCTGTCTTCGCAAGACGTCCAGAAATGTTTAGAGGATGACGGCCCTGGAGTGCTTAAACGTGGCACTTGGATCGGCGACTTTGACGAACTGCTGCCGCGGAAGGAGCCCAGCGATTCCAGTTGGTTTAGGGTTTAGGGTTTAGGGTTTAGGATTTAGGGTTTTAGGATTTAGGGTTTAGGGTTTAGGGTTTAGGGTTTAGGGTTTAGGGTTGGCCGGCACCTCAGTCCGTGCTGAAAAAGGGTTTAGGGTTTAGGGCTTCGGCCGAGCGGTTTCAGTTGGTCTTCGGCCCTCCATGAGCAAGCTTGCCACTAGGTGTCCTAGGGTCGAATGCTAGGAGGATTTGGTGCATGGCAACATGCTGAAGTAAATGGTACATGTACGGATCTGCAAAGAAAGGATTTCGAACACAGGACCTGCAGCAGATTGGAAATAGCACGGTGTTTTCAGACAGAATCTTGGAAAGTCGGCCTCCTTATCGCACGGCACCCTCGTGGCAAGCCTTTCCGTTTGCATGCCTGTACGGCGAGGAGCCTTTCTACGAGCACGCGGAGTGCGGAGGCATCTATTCCCCTTACGTAGCTTTGATGCAGTCGCACGCGTGGTGCAGAGGACCGCGTGTGTGCAGAATGCAAGGTTCGGCTGATGGCCGCAGATGCAGAAGTGGCTGTGGCTACCATCGCGGCCCAGGACGGATCAACTCGCTCATGAGTCGTTGTACTGAAGGCGACTGTATGTTCTGCTCCGGCTAATGCCCAGTTGCAGGATGTGACACGCAGTCCACCCTTCAGTGTGGATGCCCGGATTTGCCCAGATGATGCAATGTCAATGGCGTCATAGGCCTGGTAAGAACAGGAGCTTTTCTCTTGCACCAGTGCTTAGATTTTGTGCCAGCACTCCATGCCTTCAGCTGCACCAACATCAGCACGGCGCAAGTCTTTGCTGGGGGTGGTTTTGAGGGCGTGAGCTTCTGCGCGAGAAGATCCGCACGGTCTTGTTGATGGCACGGGAGAACGGCCATGGCCTGAATATCTGCGAAGCAGAGAAGTAACTCACAAAGCTTCACCGACGCCTGTGTGCAAATTCTCAAATGGCAAAGGCCACGATGCCGTTGTGCTCGGCGCATTCGGCTGTGGCTACTTCAGCACCTTTCCTGCAAGTTATCCTGTGTGCTGGACGATCTGTCGGGCACGTGTGTGTGATTCCAGGCAATCCAGCGGAGGTGGTTGCATCGACCTTACTTCTGAGTAGCTGCTGTGAGTAGAGTCAAGGCCGTATATGTTTTCCATGATCTTGAGTTGTTCGCATACAGCACGAGCACAGAGTGGCCTTTAACTTCAACACAGTAGACGGAGGCCGAAACGAGACTGCTCAACCTCTCTGCCAAGAGGCAGAAACCTTCCAGCAACTCCTGGCCACGGAGTTCAGCGGAGTGTCGCTCGGCGACGCGTGAATCGTCTGGCGTCGTATGAGGCACACTAGCAGCTGCAGTGGCAACTTGCGTGGAAACTGAGGTTCCGGCTTGTCCTCTTCGCGCTGCTCAGGGACAGGAACTTCCCGGTGTTCAGCAAGCAGCCTGTCAGAGCGGAACGGGTGGGGCTCCTGCAGTCGAGTGCGAGCCCGGCCGATTAAAACGTCGACGATCGCAGGCCTCCTCGGAAGAAGGCTCTGATGCGAACTCAAACTTGAAGCCTCGCACTGCTGGTGCAGAGCCAGCCCCAGATTGTGGAAGCAACAGCTGTACCTGTTTGTGATTGTCGGGTGCTTGTAGGGAGTCTATTTCGATTCAGCTTGCAAGCATAGTACGAGCAACAGTGGTGCTAATATTCAGCAGTATCTGAGGTACTTCCCTCTTCTTGATGTGAAGCGGCTGCCTTCCCTACTGGAGAGTCACACTCCGGCTCCAAAGCCGAGCCCAGAGTGACAGCGGCCTGAGGAACGCACCGGAAAACTTGGGCACTTCTTGGTTTAGGGTTTAGGGTTTAGGGTTTAGGGTTCTTGATACGTTTATGTGCACGATAAAGTAGTAGTCATGGCGGTTTGCATCCCAAAGCACACAAGTAGAAACTAGCATGCTGGACTGCTAAGACTACATGGAATACATGCGACAATGCCAGCTGCCCTCTGTGCATGCATCGAAGCCCCGCGCTATACATGCACATCTACAGAGAAAGATAGATAGATAGGTTGGTCGGTAGGTAGGTAGGTAGATAAGTGGATAGGTATCTAGATAGACAGGTAAATGGATGCTAGTGTGCGCATGAGCGCAGACATCGGTTTACGATTCTTCCGAAGTCTTCCTTAAACTAAACCATGCAAAAGCTCGGGTTGTCCTTCTCTTGTTTGCTGAGGCCGCGCTCTCCGTCTGGGGCCCGATGGGATGTCGCTCGTGCTTCTCCTTTTGTAGCCGTCCTCGTGTTTGTAATTGAGGATGGTTGGAAGAGTGCCATGTTTACGAATGTCTTGTTGGCCGAATGTCCTCAACACTGGGTAAAGCACCTTCGCGACATGGTTTGTTCGAGGTGACAGTTTTCCTCATGAGCTCCCTTCCACAAGCTTGGCTGCTATCCGTGCGGTCCTTAGTCGTTTTCGCTGGCTTCACTCGTTTTGAATTTGAGGGGCAGCTGCCGTGGCACTCATGCTCCCGGTTGGCAAACATAATGTGGGGCAGTGCCTCCCTCTGAGCAAGGATATCGTGTTCTGCCTCCTCTATGCCTCCTACATCCCGCTTCATAGCGTCTGGCCCTCGTTGGTCTGCCGATTCTCCTTGACATGGGAGATGGTGTCTACGACGGTACTGGGTAGTGCTATTCACATTCTACTCACATCTTTTGCGCAGGCTTGCGTGAATTCCGCCTGGACTACTCACATCTTAAAGCCTGGGATCTAGACGACAGAAGACCTGAGCCCACTGTGGCTGACAATGGCGGTGATGGCTTTTGAAGTGGGCGTGAGGCCAGGAGTTACCTCAGTCCTGCATCCTCACTCGCTTCGAAGGTCCTGGGCTTTGTCCCACCCAGCGTCACCGCGCCCTCCGGACCAGCTGGAGCCCCGAAGAAAGGGGTCTGCTTGCATCTAAACCCTCAGCCCTAAACCCGAAACGCTATCGCGACGCAAGAACTTGGAGAGAACCGCCACCTTAAGCCCAGCGGCTTCGGGGTCCAGACATCGACGGAAGGCTGCAACTAATGAAAGGGACAGCTTGTGCAGACCGAGGCGCTGGCCACACTGGCGCGGTGCTCAGAGACCAGAGAGCCAGAGTCTCTAAGGCCAGGTCCTCGTAAATCTCACGAGGGACTCGAGGGCCATCTCGGCTGGCCCTGGGGTTCTCCAACCTCCAGGACTGAGTGGCTCTGACGCGCATCCACGAACAGAGCCAAAGCAAGCCATAAGCCGAAGGCTTGTCGCTACCCATGTGCACGTCGATTGTTAGTGCTCGCTTGCGAAACGGGTCAGAACTACATTTTGTCGCAATGTTGCATGGTAGAAAAACGGGGCGTGGCAGAAGCTCTTTCAGTGTTAGTATTGAGGCGCCGGCTCGTGTCATGGTGTCTTTTACTCGGCCCTGAACTCCACGAAGCTGCAGACCCCAAACCCTGGCCGCAGAGCCAATCTCATGAATCTGTGTCGCGCCTCGCATGTTCATGCGGTCGTTCGCCCAGACCATGGCTGCTGCTGGAGTCAACGTCTGGATTCTACTAGGCCGCCATTGCTCTGTAGATTTTCGATGATTTTCAGGTTTAGGGTCTATGTTTGGTTTAGGATATCTAAAAGATCTCTCCTGCCCCAAGAGTTAAGTTAAGCTCACATCCTGCAGTCGGTTATCCCCGGCCCGAGTTGCCAGAGTTCGAAGCAGAAGCAAGCCGACTCTCTAGGCCCTAGCCGGCCTTTTCTTCTAAGTTTTGCTCATTAATCCCTAAACCCATCTAAACCCTAAAAGTCAAAACCCTAGACCCATCTAAACCCTACAGTCAAAACCCTAAACCCATCTAAACCCTAAAAGTCAAAAACCTAAACCCATCTAAACCCTAAAGTCAAAACCCTAAACCCATCTAAACCCTAAAAGTCAAAAACCTAAACGCATCTAAACCCTAAAGTCAAAACCCTAAACCCTAAGGCCCTGGGCCCTAGGCCAAAGCTCTGAACCCTCAGTGCTGGCACGACAGGCTTTGTTCTCATCTCCTATGGCACTGCCCCCTACGTTGCCTACGCATGGACCACGGATCAGCTCCTGGCCCGGGCCCGGGCTTCTAAGGCGATGGAGCATGAGTAACCCTAACCCTGCAGGTACCTACTAAATAGGGTACAAGAGCCCCTAGGGCCCCCTTGTAGTAGGTACTTGGGGGGTTAGGGTAAGAAACATGCTCAATTCCCGCATGTCTGGGCCTGAATCACCGAGGTCTGCCTCTATGCCATCCCCTCAGTGTCAGGGTCGTCATTGACGGCATCGTCCGCACGCTGCAATTCTAGACTAGCTAATTAGGAGTCAGCCTTGAGATAAGCTGCCGGGATCCACAAATATTGGCTCCAGTTTTTAGTCGGAGGTTCTCTTCCTGATGCTGCTCATCGAGCACCGGGCTACGCTCTTGCAGGGGCGCAGTGGCCTGCAGCAGTCGGGCTACAAGGACCGACCCCTCCGAGGGGTGTAGTTTCGAAAGCGGGCCTGGGATGATGATCATCAAGAACAAAAGAGACCGGTTGGTTTCGGATTTCACGTGCATCATCGTTTCGTCGGGGTTTTGGGCGTTGACCTCAAGTTTGAGGCTGCGGTTTGTATGAGCTGACGTCCTGGATTTGTGATGCGTGTCGTTGGGTTGTAGTAACCGAGACGCGTGCTGTGCCGGCAGCTGCAAATCGTCTCCTGGTTCAGGCTTTGATTTCGGCGGATGATGCTGCATCTGCTCAAGTGACTTGGGCCTGCAAGGAACTGTTCACGAGTAAACAATCGGCTAAAAAAGGATGCATATGACTACTGCATCCTGTCGCTCCAGTTGTCAACTCGAAACCCTAAACCCTAAACCATAAACCCTAAAAGGCTACATGGCACTGATGGTACTGTAGGAGCCGGCGACGAGCTTCAGCGCCTGCTTGAGGCTTCGCGAGGTCCTGTTGATCCGCTGTCATCACGCTTCACAGCAGAGCCTGCGGCTCGGGATTCCTTCAAGCCTGGTTCTGAGTAGGATTGATATAGGGCGAGTTGAGCTCTACAGCTGAGCCGAGAGCAGACTGCGTCTGAAGTCAGCACTAAGTACGCTCTCCCGCACCGGCGGCGCCAACTCGGATGCAGAGGAGCAAAGCAGCATGCTTGTGTGCACTGGTGGTGCACATATTTTTTAGACTATTAATTAAACCATATCCTGGCTCCGACCCTGAAGCTTTGCCTGGAGCCGTTCGAGCGTGTGCAGCAGTGCTACAGGGTCGCGTGTTTGGGGTGCGGGGCCCGCTCGGCAGGGGTTGTCTGGATCCTGTGTGGTTATGAGGGCATGGTTTGCTGGCTATTTTCGAGCAGCACGGCCTCAATGACTTGTTAATACCTCGCTCTCAACATGGTTGTAAAGCTCTCGGCGATTGTGAAGAGCCAGACCACCCAAGCAATGCACCAGATGACATAGGCGGTGAAGGGGCAAGAAGCTCCAAGAGTCAGCATTGCAAGGACAACGCAACGCCGCCTCCCGTGGAAGGCTCCAGCGGCCGTGTTCGCGTTCGCCGGAGTACTGTAACGTTTTGCAGAAACCTATTGTTATTACTGTTTAAGTAATAGTTAGTAGTATTTATGTCTTGTAAGAATATACGAAAATTCTATTACAACAGTTCTTATTCTTTATAATTTTTGTACTGTTAATATTTCTTCGTATAGTTTGTAATATTTTTGTTGGAGTCATTAAGAGTACCAATGCGCGCAACATAACTAGCACTCTTGTTAGCGTTATCAACATTATTCATATTGTTAAAACATTACTGAAATTAGTACTATTGTTAATATCGTCTTACAGTATTAGTCATATTGCGACCATTGTTGATATTAGTACTGTTGTGAGGAGGCGCCGATCTGCTCAGAGCTAGGCCAAGACTTTGCCTTCCTCAACGGGCTCTGGGCACGAATCCGCTGGTGCCTCAGTGGGTGGAAGGATCGACCGTTCCTCTGGTGCATGATGGCATAGGAGAGGACAAGATGAAAAGTACGTGATAAGATGGCATTATATCACATAAGATCAGATAGCGTTACATAAAACAAGGTCAGCTCAGATAAGACAAGAAAAGATGAGATGAGATGAGATAACAGTAAGTTAAAGAATAATGCAATATTCTTAAAAATAATGGGTTTAATGGAAGGTATCATAATATAATATAATATGACATGATTAAATGCAATGTAACATGTACTCTAAAACTTGAAAAATACAATACAGTTTAATACAACAAAATACATTACGATATAATGCCACAGAAAACAGTATGAGAGATGATAATACAATATAATGTAATATGGTAGAACAAAAAATAGCACAATATCATACAACTTACAACACAGTACACAGATGTAAAATAATGATACTATATAAGAGCCTTGAAACCTTGATACCTCCCCTTGTGACATGTCTCTGTTCGCCCAGGAGAGCAGAAGGTGCAGAGCTTGGCGTTGCGTCCCGCGTTACGCTGATAGCGACCCCAATCGTTTAGGAAGTCCCCTGCTTCCCGAATTTTCGCTAAGTCCTCGGGGCCCATGAGCTCCATCTTCGCTCGCCTGACCACTGGGCAGCGGCATGCGGCTTAGATCCAAGCCAGAGTCTAGCGCATGTTTACCGTGCTTTTTGCTCTCATCTTGAATTATGGAGAGACCAGGTCCGTGGCTAGTACTAGCTCTGCACCGCGCCACCGGTTCGCTGCTGACAAGGCCCGAGAACCTGGGTTTGAGGATGTCCGAGGTGAAAACAAGAACAAATATAAATGTAAGTAAATAAATAACAATTACTTAATGAATATATACTGTATCATATAACAGTATTAGTATGATATATTATAGTATAGTATGACAATGGTATAACATGAGTGAGCCGTAGCATTGAACGAAGCCTCTAACAGAGAAAGCCGGGACATGTTGCACACTTGAACACTGCCGGTTTTGACTGGAAACTATGTGCTCTTCGATCCATTTCTTGGAGTCCCAAACAGATTGAGAGAGATATAGTATCTATCTATATATATATATAGTATATATATATATATGTGTGTGTGTGTATATATATATATATTTCGTAATTATATTATATTATATTATACAATATTATATTATATTGTATTTTATTATATTAT